CCTGAAGCTAGTATGTGAGTACGAGCATGGAAGATGGCAGACTACAGGAAACAGCTGCTATTTATCCTCAAATGCAGATGAGGCAGGATTACTCCTAAAGGTCTTTAAGCTCTTCAGTCAAGGCTAAGAGCCATTTGCTAAACGAAACGGCTAAACAAATTTTCCCGTCAATATGCTTAAACTAGTTTTAGTTAAGAAGACACGTGAAAAGGGGACCTTTGACCAGCCCACAATTAAAAGTCTAAGACCAGCCAGAAAGGAATAAAGGTTTGGTTCACTTGTTTAGCAGACTCACACTCAGGATGTGTACAAGTGGGTTAAAAAATTGTCTGAGAGGCAACTAAATCAAGTAGAGAAAATTCTCTTCCAAAAATGTTGAACTTTGCTGTGATGTAGAGACAAATTCCACTAGTGGAGCTGATCACAGCCACAGATTCAGAAACCTGAACCAACACTGTGGATGTGGACGCAGAGCAACTGCGAATGATGGTTTTGGCCTCCTCAGCAATGCAAATGTTCCAGCATCCATGGAGGAGAGGAAGGCGGTCGTGTCGCTTAGTGAGGACAACATAATCGTCATCTGACAGACAAGAGCGGGCCAAAGGTTTTACAAAATTGTTGGGTTTCTGAGGAAGAAGACAAATGTGCTCAAAGTACATTTTATTTTATTAAATTTATTAATCAATTCAAGGTTCAAGGTTAAAACGGCTGCCTTGTCTGTGCTCACTCAGGAGACCCAAATGAACAAAGAGCACCACACCCAGGCAGTGTACGTCTTTAAACAGAATCTTAACATGCTTGGTTGAAACAACTGAGGGTGGCCTTAGGTCTGATATCTGCTCAGGTTTCTTGTACCTCTCTCTATACGTCTCCTTATATAGACATGAGCCTTTTTCAAGAAAAAGAAAATCCCATTACCATAGCAACCACCTCTTGCACTCTGGTCAGGCCTGCATACAGAGATGGGGAGGGGGGAAGGAAAAGGAAAGTGGGGAAGAGAGCTTCTTTATGGGCCTGTTTCTTCTAACAGTCAGTCTTAAAGTTTTGAACCTTCTGGTGCCATCAGCAGTCCAGGCAGACCATCCCCCTCAAATTCCTCACAGAAGAAGCTTCTGTCTGTGCCTGTTGTTGTCAGTGTTATAGACTACTTCCAACACTTCTTACTAGTCTACAATACATAACTGTGTGTGGTAAAGGATAAAACAAACGTGTGATGTTAATTTTGACATAATAGCCGTAAGGATAAAAATAAATTCCAGCTGGATCTAAGTGTAACTCTTTGAGACTTTTATAATGGTGTGATTTCAGCCATTCCAGAGCTCCGTGTGAATGATTCTAATGCCGTTGGTCTATTGGATCATAACAATCACTAAAGTGTTTTGATATTTATGCAAAGGTACTGTTTAAGTTTGAGGAAACCTGCAGTCAGCTGAGAATGAAGAAGTCAGTTGGATGAGTGGTAAAATGTTTCACCAACTGAAAAGCAAATATTCAGATGAACCCAATTATCATCCTGGGACTTTTGAGTTCACACACACATCCTGTTCCCACATCACCATTGCACTAACAATGATCATGCATTTTTTGACAGATGGCTGAGTGAGGCATAGAGAATTTAAGGCCCATGGGAGTGTCCCCTAAGAAACCTTGGCTAATCGTGGCCTACACCTGTTTTCACACCTTGACTCATGTGATTAAGTAGAGAATCAATAGGGGGTCCACTGTCCCTTTTGGGGGGACACTCCCATAGGGCTTAAATCTGGGACTCTCCACCATTTAACCTCAAATTAAAGAAGCTTCTCGGATGACAGGTGAAACGTCTTCAAGCAACTTAAAGAAGTCCAGACGCTTTCCTTTCCAAGCTCCTCAGAGCACCTCATAAAATATATGGCTCTTTAAGTACCACCCTTATGACCGACATTAAAGTACACTTGTATAGGCCTATTTAACACCACATACAGTTTACACAAGACAATTTTATCTCTTATATGAATGTTATTTATTTTAACTGTCATAAACAGGATGTAACAAGCGATGTTAATAATAACTGTACTGCATTAAAACATTCACAGCAGGTGGGATACCCAACCTTCAATTGATGACGTATGAACTCTGCTTCCGGGTCCAAACTACTATGCGTGTTTTTAACATATTTTAATGTTTTGGTTTCTTGTTCTATTTAATCTGAACAAGCCCTCTTTAGCGGAAGCAGAGATGAGGTAGAGGAGGGCCAGAAAGTAGAGCAGGAACGTGAATGCTCAGAGGAGGACAAACCAGCTTCTGGGAAGCTTGAGCAAGGGCAAAATGAGAACACGCAACATTCATTAAGGATAAGAAGTGATATGTCTTGATGCATGCTCAGTCATCCAGGTAAGTAATTCTGTTCACGTAGTGTTTGCATTGGAAGAAATGTTTCGTCACTCATCCAAGCGACTCCTTGAGTCTCAGCTGACTGCAGGTTTCCCCAATCTATAAACAGCACATTTGCACAATGACTGAAACTAGCACCACTGAATGAACAATGAAAACGGGACAACCTGCAGTCAGCTGAGACAGAAGAAGCCACTTGGATGACTGACGAAGCATTTCTCCCACTAAAAGCGCTACGTCCAGATGAACAGACCACTCAGAAGTTGTGATTTGGTACAGATGTATGAAGACAGTCCTTGTTCCATGGTCTCGGCAGACTGAGTCCGTCTTGTCACATTTAAGAGAGCTCTCACTTTCCAGAGGGCATCATTTGTTTACCCGGATCAGAGACATTAGGATCATTTGCTACTTTGAAGGACTGCCTAAATTTAAAGAATCTATCTTGACTTCTTGAATTGGCTGGAACTATTATATCCAGATCCTAGAATATCTGAGTCATGCTGTTAGCAAAGATAAGTTGAAAAATATTTTCAGCTTCATTTCCTCCTGTGTTCCTCCAGTTTTCCTCCAGTGACTACCTCCTCATGTTTTCTTGTTTCCACGATATAGCAAGGTTTCTTCCTACCCTTCAAGGGTTTGCGTTTATTTATTTAAATACCTAATTTAAATGTTCCTCAGTTTAGTTTTGTTATCTTTGTTTTTCCTAGTTTTGTAAATATGCCTTAATAAAAAATACTCTGACTTAATCTCAGTTTTGTCTCCTTTTGTCTGCGTTTGGTTTCTCATAAAATCACTGTTATGGACTGTTGTGAACTTTATCTGTCTCTGATTTTTCCACGCCTTAAGTTTTTACTGTCTTGCAAATCTTTCATCTCAACACCAAAACTAATCTGACACTTTTTATGCTTTCTTTTATTTTTTTTCTCACTTGTATTTAATTTATCAAGATTACAGCTGAGCATCAATTGCAATGAATCCAACAATGGCATCGTCACTCAGGAAAACATGATATGACTACGTTTTGTCATCACCCTTAAAGGATTAAATCACATCAGTTCCTAAATACAATGAGTAGTTGTCTTTCACACACTGTATGTTACAAGCACTGTAAATGTTGCTCTTTGTTATTTATAATCTGCTGATGTCACTTCCAGGAGAATCCTTTCTCAAAAAAGAGATGGGACACTTGTTCAATTGTTGGGAGCAGTGGGATTCTAACAAACAGCGGCTGTGGAAAAATGATTGATTCAGCTGATTTTGTTATTAGGTGAGAAAGATGTTCAATGTAAGGAATGGAAATCGTGATGAGGACTCTTCTCTCTGTAAGTAATATTTCATGTTATTTCAGGTGCAACCTTCCTCCTCTGGAAAATGAATTTCACAATGATGTCGGCAGGAAGACTAACCTTGTGACAGCAAACCCAAGCATCTTCATGCAAAAGTGAGCAATTAATGAACCCGAAATTGAACCGACTTGTTAGTTTATGTCTTGTTGCTTTAAGTCATGCATTAATTTGCAGGTATGGGTCACTGACGGGACGTCGCCGGGCGTTTGCAGACAGTCTCCAACAGTATGGCAACTCCCTGCTTCTCTTTCCTTGCTTCTCCTATGGTGGTACTCGCCCAGCGTGTCAGCGGGCTGTGTATGCCATTGAGGACATGGATATCCCTATCCAACCAATCTTCATAAACCCTAGGTATCTCGAAAGACTGGTCAAATTCTGGGAATCTCTGGGGTTAAAGGAACATCGACCTAGCACTGGATTATATCTGACTACCCTGGCACTGGAATTTTGTGAAACGGTGCATTTGTATGGATTCTGGCCATTTAGTAATCACCCAGATAAACTCTTTCCCCTGACTAACCACTACTATGATAATGTACCCTATGATAGGAAAGTCCATGCAATGCCAAATGAGTTTTCCCACTTGGTGGAGCTGCATAATAAGGGCGTGCTCAAGCTTCACCTTGGAGACTGTAAATCAGATCAGGTCTAGTTTGAATTTTGCAATAACAAAAGAATATGTTCAAGTATCCAACTGAGAGGCCAAGACATGCTCACAATATATGTAATATTTACTTCTTTTTCTTTGATAAAACTGACATAATAGCAATAAATTGAAGAACAATGTAGGAGCAAAGCAATCAGCCATAGAAGTTTAAAAGAAAATCTATACCCTGTGTCCACAGACACTGAAAAACACGCTAAGATGAATGTGTGCAGCTGCATAATTCGAAAGATTAATACTATGGAGGCATGCTTAGTTTGAAAAACAACTGAAGTAAAGTCTCATAAATTCACTTTCCTTGAATCAAAATGTACAAATAGACACGTTCAGTTTGGTCTAAATATATTCTGTGCACTGTCGACCTTCTGAATGATGTTCATGCTGTTTACAGTCTGGTTAAAGTGAAGAGAAGTGCGCACGGGTTTGCCACAACGCCTCAAATTTTGATCAGAAATCTTTGTAAAACCCACAGAACCACACAAATAAGAACAAAGAAATGAGACCAAAGCTAAC